AGCCATATCAGAATTCTAACTCATTTTCTAGGTTTTGAAAGCACTAAAAAGCAGCAAAATTCAAAAAAATGCTCAAATTATTAAATCCTTTCGAGAGAACAGTTCATCTCCTAATTTTAAAAAACATCAAAAAAATATTAAAACCAAATAATTGGCCAACGCACGGGCTGTCCGTGCGATGATGCATTTTTTGCATAGCTCCCCGCAGTTTTTGTCGCTATCGGCATCGGTTTTTTCGGCAGATCCTTCTAGATAAACAAATTAAGACTGGCCACCAAAACTGGCAGGAAACACCCCCTTAAAATTCCAGCTTTCTAGTTTTCCTAGCTCCTCAGTTAGCAATTTGCTGGGAAAAATTTTTCACGAGCCCGCACTTAGGTACAATGCATACCCGATGTCTGGATTTGAGCTCGTTGAGACTTACTTTCACGGGGAACATCTTCCTAAAACTACAGTCTTTTAGCTTTTCAGGTTCTCGGGTTATGAAATTACCCGAGAAAAACTTTGGTGAACCCGTGCGTAGGCACCACGCATGACCGAGGGCTGGGTGTGAGCTCATTGAGACTAATGTTGACTGGGAACATCCCTTAAATATTACAGTCTTCTAGCATCTCAGATCCCGGAGTTATGAATATACCAGGAAAAAATTTTGGCAGGCCTGTACGCGGGTATCACGCTTACCCGAGGGTTGGGTCTCAGCTCATTAGTATCTACTTGGACGGGGAACATTCCCTTAAGATTTTAACGTTCTAGCTTTTCTGGTTCGCGAGTTAGCAGCTTACCCGTTAAAAAATTTTGGCGGGCTCGTATGCGGGTACCACGCTTACCCGAGAGTTGGGCTTGAGATCATTAGTATCTACTTGGACGGGGAACATTTCCTTAAGATTTCAGCATTCTAGCATCTCAGATCCCCAAGTTATGAACCTATCGGGAAAAATTTTGGCGGGCTCATACGCGGGCACCACGCTTACCCGGGGGTTGGGTTTGAGCTCATTAGTGCCTACTTAGACGAGGAACATCTTCATAAAATTTCAGCTTTCTAGCTTTTCTGGTTCGCAAGTTAGCAGCTTACCCGTAAAAACTTTGGCGAGCTTTTACGTGGGCACCACGCGGGAAAGACCGCCTATTTTGGGGACGGGAACCTGTAAGTGCATGTAGATTAAGTCCCCAAAGTTTCAGCCCTGTAGCTTTTGTAGGTCTCGAGATGAAGAATTGGTACAGAGGCCCTGCATACACACAGACACACACAAAAACACACACACGCGCACACACAGACAACCTCTCGTCAATATGCGTTTTCCGCATTGCATAGCTGCAAAAAGCGCATAAAAGCATGAGGGTGACTATTATTAAATAGTCAAAAACAATTATCAAATTCTTCGAAAATTTCAAGACCATTTAAAGTGTCAAGTGTACGCTTGGCTTCTTCCAGTATACTTTCAGCGAGCGTTACTGCATCCTGAGCACGCGCTTTCGCAGCGTCAACATCAGCTAGCATTTCATCGGAAACCTAAAATGCGTGTCCCCATTACTGACTCACTGAAAACAAGAAACCCGCTTTTCAAATACGCTGATTTTTATTAAGACTTATCTGCCGGGCCATTTAAGGAATTAGTCTGTTTTACTTAATCCCCATATTTACAAAGACGGGCATGGTGCAGCTTGAAGTAGCACTGTCTTGTAAAAGATTGAAGTCCGACTCCGCCAGTAGAAAAAACAGTCGCTTTACGTTTCGTTCATTCTTTTTCAATGATAAATTGGTATTGATAAATGTAAGGACGTTAAAACCCGCAATCGGCTTTTTTGCATGCAACACTCGAAGGAAAGGGGCCACAGTCTTGCAGCGAGTGGTCCTGTTGGCCATACCTATCGGATCAATTCCTCAGTGTCTTCGCTTCTAATAAAAGAAGAGGGAGAAGGGTGGATGATTGTATTTTTGCGAAGATGATAAGCACCTTGCCCGGCAAACAAGAAAGACAAGGAAAATAACGCCAAGATTCATCGGTACGTGATACAGCTTCCGCCAGAGCAACCATACAAACACTGTCAACGACGCGAAAGTGAAAGAGGATGAAACAACAGCTGTTCAGTGCCAAAGTAAGTGAAATATTTAATGTAGTAACCGCAAAGTTGCTACTGAGGATAAAACAGACACTTATGTTAATGTTACTTCAGTGTTACTTACTGTTACTTCAAAAATAATTTACAGCTTTTTCGTCTTACTTCATATTCTAGACCTTAGTTCAGTTGTAGGCCATAACATTTTTCTTTTCCTTTACATATGTAATTCTATTTCTGCAGTATTTGTATTGTAATACCAACTACTGATGCTAATGGGATTCATACTGATAGTCATTATTATTATACTGTTATTATTAGTTTTTGTCACTATTATTACTGATGTTATCAGTTATTGTTATTATCACTGTCATTGTTGTTATTAATGTTATTATTGTTTCATTACTGTTATTGTTAATATTACTAATACTAATATCACTTTATTATGAACAATTTAATGCCAAAACATTACACTGTTATTATTATTTATTAATATTATCATTTAAAAGGGAACAAATATAAATGAATACGTCGTG